TCTGGGTCATCAAGATCATTTTTGTATAGTTCTTCTGTGTATTCTTGCCACCTCTTCTTAATATCTTCTGCTTCTGTTAGGTCCAAACCTGCAGCAGCTTTAACTAAATCTCTTGCTTGGAGATATGTTGATTGTTACTGGTAATAAACATTCAAATAAGTGATCCTCACAAGAACAGGACTATGGTTACACATTTTCAGATGAGATGATTATAATTATTCTTACTATTAATTTTATACTTAGAGTGGAGGGAGAAACAGACATATTTTTATATTGGGACTTTTTCCAGACAGAATACCACTATCTATCATTTTACTGAAGATATAACCTTAGTTTTACATAGAATCTCTGTTCACCTCCTCTCCATTTGCTTAAGCCTGAAGCTCTGATTTCTACTGTATCAAATGGCTTAAATTGACCAAAATCTGGGTGTCTAGTTTTAGCTTTCAGCACTGAGGCAATGCAAGGGTCAGTGCACATAGTTGTGCTACTAGGACTAGTTTCATCTGATGTTTTTATTTTTCTGTCCTGGCCTTTAAAGGTTTACATATACTTCCCAGCAAGAGAGAAAACATTTAAAAGTATAGTTATTGGAAATTTCCCAGCATCTTGATGTTTTGCAGAGGGCATTTTAGAAAACTGAATCTGCCTCATCCTTGGGAATGGAAGTCAGTCTTTTCTCAATGAATATGGAGTTAATCAAATCTACCTCATAAAAATAATGTGGGGATTAAGTTTAATACCATTCATAACTGCACACCACAAGGACTGACATAAACATGCCCTCAATAAATGGTGACTTTTACTATTTATATTATTATATATTGATATTTTCTAAGAAGTAAACATATTGACAAAATCATAAAGCACATTCTTTTATTAGACAAATGGCTTTCCAATAATAATTTTGACCTCATGACTAATAGAGAGTCACTTACTCCCCTGGGTTACTTTATAGTTTTCCTTCAATCAATATTTGTCTATTCTTCTCTATTTCTGCTAAGGAAGATGTGACACTGAGTGACCAATTCAAAGTCATAATTACTGGAGCAATTAATGTGACCCTCATGCTGCCTATCTTCAGCATTACTACTAAAGCAGAAACAGCCAATTTCGATTTTGCTTCTTCTATTTTAGTGCCTGCTATTTTAATGATAGGTGAAAAAACTTATAGATGACTTTGAGAAGATGAGAAATGGAGATGTTAACAATATATAAGAAAGATGAAATAATCACTAATCAAGAGAACTGGTAAAGGCTTTGGACTTCTGAATATGTTTGCTTTTAATATTTAATACTCTAAAATATTTTAAAATTAATCATCCCTCATATTTTTAAACTCATACTGTAAGATTTCCTAAGAAATTAGGAAACCAGTTATTTGCAGTATTTATTTCTTACCAAGCAGCTTTTATTTTTAATATAAGGAAAAGGTCACTGAGATTGAAGGTAGTATGGTCAACCAGTCATGTGTCTGGGCTCCAAGAGTAGAGAGTTGGGTCTAAGCATAATAGTGTTGTAGTCTTTGATACCCTTTCCATTTCTATAAAATGTGAATGTAGAAGACTTTATAATAGGTTATTGAGATAACATGTGAGAAAATGCATGTCAGGCACTTGGAGCAGTGCCTGAGTCTTTGTAACAATTATACTACTACTGCTATTATCATTTTACTATGTTGATAACACATCTTCTGTAGCTTGGTTACTCTGTAATAAATGGGAAAAATTGGATTCCTTGGTACCATTTTTGGAACTGTCTCCTGGTTTGCTAACCATTTCTTAAATCATTACTGTGAGTAGAAAACGTAGTGCCATATGATTATGAAGAGTGAAAGATGCCTTTTTAAGGAATGGAGATAATTTATTACTTATTTGAATGCAAAATCACACTCTGAAATTAGGAATAGGATCTAGCATATCTCTTTTAAATATTCATAGGCAATAAAAACTCTGGCTGTTTGATTGATTTAACAGGCAACTGAATATTACCTTTGCTCTGCATAATTGCAGTTCTAAGAAACATTAGGTAGGCAATAAAAAAAAAGCACCACAAACCTCTGACATAGGCATTTTAATTGGAAGAAAATGGGCTACGGCTCATCTTCAAATGAAAGAGCACTTTGTTTATTAACAGAAAAAAACCCTGCCTTTCTTTAGCCAAAAAAAAAAAAAGGAAAATTACAACTTTTAAAGATTCAGAGAATACTCCCTAATACCATACACAAAAATTAACTCAAAATGGATTAAAGACCTGAATGTAAGGCCAGACCCCATAAAATGCTTAAAGGAAAACATAGGTAAACACTTTCACATAAATTGCAGCAGAATCTTTTTGAGCTATTCCTAGAGTAATGAAAATAAAACAAGTATTAACAAATGAAACCTAATTAAACTTAAAAGGTATGGCACATCAAGGAAAACCATAAACAAGACAAAAAGACAACCCTCAGAATGGGAGAAAACATTTGAAAATAAAACAAATGACAAAAGATAAATCTCTAAAACATATAGACATCTCATGAAGCTCAATACCAGAAAACAAACTATCCAATCAAAAAATGGGGGGAAGACCTAAATCGACATTTCTCCAAAGAAGACATACAAATGGCTGACAAACACATGAGACACCCTGGTTTTAACTTTTGTCTCCTCTTAACTCTTTGATCATTGCTTCTTTTTTCTTTGCAAACACTGTTTCTTCGGCTGAAAATTTGATATGGGATATAACTCCAAAATTCTATGCATTTTTTTAAAATCTTGACTTATCTGGGGTGATCTCCTGAACTCTATAGATTTTCAGTATATAGCCTGAAAAACTCCCCATCTTTGTAACTTATTTGAATCACTCTCTTTAACTTCAGTACTGTGAATCTCTCTTTTACAGGATTAGGGAAAATCCCCACCTGGGTACTCCATAAGTACTGCAACAGATTTTGTTGCTGTTCTGCCATATAACACGCTAACCTCAGATCTCTGAGCTCACCTGAAGCTTTGGTGACCAGTACGTGCACACACTGCTCGATTCCCACCTTAAACTCCCACATTTCTCAATTTTATGGCTCTAGGCAGCCGAGGAGTACTGGGATTTTATGCACCCAAGGTCAACCCTCCAACACAAAGGGAGGAAAATGGGTGAGAATGCTTCAGTTTCCATTAGCCCAGTGGGGCAATTCTGTGTGCTCTGAGACACTGGTGTGCTACCTGATTTCTTTAATGCTCCCAGTGGGACTGACCCAGTAACTCACAGTGGAAACTCACTCATAAAAGCATCCTATATCAGCCTTCCAAACTTTCATTCTCCATTCTCCCCATGTGCTCACTTGCCTTTCTTGGTATCACCTCCCAAATAAACTACCAGAACCTAAGGTCTCAACTCAGGGGTTGCCTCTTGTTACTATCAAACTGAAGCGTGCATACTTGGCTCAATGGGGGCAAAAAAATGACATGATCTTTCACCTTCAAACTAGTTTTCTTCCTTACTTCCTCAAAGTTGTTTCTGAAAAACACCACATACTCCATCACCTAAGTCAGAAGAAACCGAGATACTCTCCTGGATTTTGCATTTTCTTTCTACTTGTCACCATCAGTGGCCTTGCCTTCAACTGAGCTAAAATATCACTTCTTACTTGGTCTCTCTCTCTGCCTACGGTCTCCCTATCTCTTAACCAACACTCCACTCTCGATGTAACATAATATGAGGATGGCACCTCTCTTCTCCTTCCCTCTCGTATATTAAACCCTTCAGTGGTTCCCTCGGTGCATGGTTAAGAACATGGCTGTACACCAGACTTTTGGTGACGCATAGATCTCCCTGAGCAGTTTCACTGATGCCTGCTTGTTCAGGCTCACCTTTAGCCACAACCCCATCTGCATTGTGTGTTCTAGTACAACCAAATATTTCTGATTTTCTGTATGTGCTGGTGGTCACCTGTCTGTAATTGCCCTCCTGTAACTGCCTATTTGGCTGCCTCCTACTCTAATTAAAAAAAATGTAGTTTACAACCAACCTTTTTCTAGGAAAGCTACCCCAAATACCTTCCAATGCTGACCCACACATATCTGCGTCCTTTTCCATGTCCTCTAATCCTCTGTAATCACTTCTAATGCAACATTTTGCATCCTATAAGGATCTTCTTTTGTTTTTATATCTTAGAACACACTAAACAATCAATACACTTTTGCTTAATTAATCAGTGTCTACAAGTAGTTAGAGGAAATTTCTCTTATTATCAAACCTTCAAACAGCGTCACACATATTCTAAATGCACTTAGCAATTAGATATGGAACTAAACCTCATTATGAGGTGTTTTTTCCTTCTTCGTAAATAATCCATTCTTGGTTTAGGAGAGTGTATGCAAAACATTGTTTGATTCAGAGAAATATGTTATTATTTTTTCAATTTTGATTTGGAAAAACTCATACCATGTGCATTAATTTTAAATATGAAAATTCCTCTGTCATATATAAATAAAAACTCACATTATTTGGGAAGAATAAACAATATCCAGTATCTTGGGCACTAATAAAATCACCTGTATTATTAACAGATTACATATGGACATAACAAACATGTGTGCACATGTTTGAAGAGCGAGAGAGAAAGAGATGGGTGATGATACCTACACATACTGGTTAATCTTGCAGAGGGAAAAAGAACTGTGGTCAGATAAGATCTGATTTTGAACACTAGATTAACTATTTACTCGTTTGAAGATCTGAGCATGTTACTTTATTTGGTCTCTTTCAGGATTCCTATTAACATCCATAGTTTATAAAGGTTTTGTAATATAAATTGATATAGCACATATGTAACTATTTCAGCCATGTCTAGCACTTAAAAGTTTCTACAACCTGGAAGCTGAACTAATATTTAAAGTATTCCCTAAAAAAAAAAAGTAAATAAAGTATTCCTCATTTTGCCTAAGAGGCATAAAGGTATTTGCTAGACATTTATGCAAATTAATTTAAAGAGATTTTTTTCACTTCGCCCACCATACCTCTTCATGTAGTTCTCTCCAACGAGAATTAAATGTCTCGAGTTCTTCATTGATCAGTTCATCCATGACTCCGCCATCTGTTAGGGTCTGTGCCAATATGCGAATCTGATTCGGGTTATCCTCTGAATGTTGCATCAAATTTTCGAGTGACTGAAAAAATTTGCAATAATTACTACATCTCTTTTTCTAAATCCACTGAATTAATCCAAAATGCTCAGTATCTTCTGATTTACATATAATTAAGTTATAAGCAACCTAAACCAATATTCAACTGGGATAACAAACCTGAAAGATCATTGTTACTTTAAAACTATGGTTCTGCTCCATGTGAATTTTCACAGGCTTGTGGCAGAACTATGGAATGGGGTACATAAGAAGTGATTCATGGCCACCTTCTTCTCTGAAACTCTACTCTAAAACCTGGGGGATAAGACACTCAATTTCCCAACTTCTCTCATAGCTAGTGATGGCCAAGTGACATGATTCTGATAATGTAGACATTCAAGAGCAGAGTTTCCCTTCCCACATTAAAACAAGTCACAGTATCTTTTGAAGAAATCCCTTTGCCCTTCACACGTTTTCACATACATGGCTTAGAGGTAAAATAGCCATCTTTGGACTGGGAGGCACTAAGAAGAAGGATGAGGTGCTTCTATCTGTTGATTTAGTATGATAAGTGCATGATCGCATCCTTTGTTCTGGCCGTGATTCTTTTACTAATGTGTAAGTTTGCCATTTTGTCTCATCTTTTTTGGAAGATGCTTCACAATGAATGTTTGGTCATTGAACATCTCTGAATAAGACAGGGACAAAGTCTGTTTATAGTCTGTTTGAGACCTGGGCCTCTCATTGTCCTTTGATACCTCAAAGTTTTACAATCCTCTTGAGAAAATGAAGTTGGATATAATCATGCCCAGGTTTATGCTACAATGTCCTAGGATCCCAATTCTATTCAGTCAAAAACATTTTACATTTTCTTAACATTTTGATTTATTTATGTACCTTGTTTTAGTGGGTTTACAAAGGGGCTGAACTACAAATGGCTCTATACACAATATGCATTAGTAGACTAAAACTACATATTCATTATATATAAAGTATTATCCAAAAGCTCAATAAAATGGATAGGACATGAATGACTGTCAGAAATTCACATAAGTCAAAGTTTATACATGCAAACTCCTTTAAATTTTACTTCTTAAGGATCTCCAAAGGAAAATCTGAAAATGTACTAAAATTCTATAGGTAACTAAAAGGTATGAACATTTTAAAGATACATTTCCAATAACAAAGCATGCCTATTTCATACCTTGAAACATCCTGACAGTAATAAATTTATGATTTTTAAATAATGTAAAAATATGCTCCAATTCAGTGATCGTAGCTGTTAAACTGGAAATAATGTTTTACATTATCATCCTGTTTAGCTCTATTCCAATGGAGCAAACTTGTGCGTTCAAACTGTATCTGCAGGTCTGTAGTAGATTTAAGTAGGTAAAACAAAATGTCAACATCGAACTTAGTGATATAGCAAAAGCAAATGTCCTTTGTAAGAGGTTATTTAAATTCTCTTTAAAACCTTTAGACTGGAAGGTTCATAATAAAATCAAAAGTGTCATCCCAACTGCTAGGGCTGGGGAAGGCATAGCACCTCTAATCTTTGTGTGGTTTTCTTTGAGTTTATTTCCTATTTGGTTCCTGACATCTTTCAATGAGACATATCAATTATCATAATTATATTAATTCACTACTTACATTGAGCACCTCGGAGATTTCCTCAGCTCCACCAGGAATATTTTCAGTAGTCTTAAGTTTCAATTCTACTTCACTTAGCCACTTATTTGCCTTTTCCAAGTATGACAATAACTCATGCCAACATGCCCAAACTTCCTGTGAAAGAAATGAATATCATGGATGAAATATTTTGATAGCAAAGTGAATGTGTGACTCTGGTATTTCCATTTTTAAAACTTCTAAAAATAACACATTTTACACCTTTCATCTCTCCTTTGTAATAGATCATTGAAAATGCATCTAGTCATTTTGAGCATCTAATACATTTATGATTACAAATCATTAAGGAAAATTTTATTACATGAATAAATTCAAGATTCAGTGACTTACTTTTTAAATAAAAAAATAATCAACATTACAGTCTGGGAAATTCAAAAATAAGAGTATGCATAAAATTGCACATAAAAACCTAACATTACAACACATCAGCTACTACCACTTTTCTCTGACCTCTAAATTTTATCACATATAAATACCTAGATAGTTAAAAGTACGGATTTAACTATATTGTCTTTTTTAACATTATATGTTATAATTTTTTCCATATTACTAAGAAGATTCATGTCAATGTATGACAAAAACCACTACAATATTGTAAAGTGATTAGCCTCCAACTAATAAAAAAAATGAAAAAAAGAAAAAGAAGATATAGTCTAAATAAAAATGCAATGTTGTACTTAAGTGGCTATAGTTTGGTTTCCTTAAAAATCAGCACTTACTGTAAAGGTAGACTACTTTTAGTTTTGTTTGCTATTATATATATGTGGTGACCATCATCATGAACGGTCCATCACGACCATCCCTATTTGAAATTATTTCCTAATGGTATATTAGTAGAAAATATGAATGCAAACTATCTCAAGGATATGAGTATTTTTAAATGACTTGATATACAGTAATAAATTAATATTCAAAAAGAGTCATACATGAAAAAGCAAAATTTTAAGACTGCTACCAGAAAATATAGAAGAATATTTTTTGACCTTGTGATGGGGAAGTATATCTAAGACATTTTTTTAAAAAGCTGACCATAAGAAAGACATAAACAAACTTAATAACACTAGAATTAAAACTTTCTATTCATCAAGACACAAGGAAAAAATTGAAAAACAGTCTCAACTTGAAGAAAACAATTGCAAAATTAGTAATAGTAAGTAATACAAGTAATAGTAATAGTAAGAATACAAAAGGAACACCAAGTCAGTTAAAAGATGAACAAATAACCTAATAGAAATATGAAAGAAAATCCTAAACCACTATTTGAAAGAAAAAGATACATGTGTATGATAAATATTTACAAATATGTTCAGACTCATTAGTAACCAGGAGACTGTATATATCAGTATTACAAAGAGATATTTATTATTTTGATTAACACAAATGCTTAATTTGACCATTTCAATTGTGAGAGGAGATTAACACAAATTTGGATTTATTGCTGGTGGGTGTGTATAGTAGAATGGCCATTTTGGAAAACAAGTTTTCATTCCCAGTAAGGTAAATATTTACATACGTAGCAATTCAACAAATTTAAAAATAAGGAAAAGAGCCTTAATGTCCAGTAACAAAAGAATGTATACATATACCGTATCATACTTACACAGAGAATATAGAAGTGAAAATGAAAACTTCAAGGAGAACCTTATGGATGAGGCCCAGACACAAAAATGTTGGGCAAAACGAGTAAGCCCTAGTAAACAATATATTACAGGTTATCACTTTCTATAACCCTCAAAACATCAAATTTGAGTAGTATATTGCTGAGGCATCCACATGTGTGTGATAAAACCCATTTTAAGCAGATAAATAATAAAGACCATTTTCTGGATTAAGGCTATGTCTGCTGGTAAAAAGTAGGAAGATGCACTAGAGAAAAAGAATATTTTAACAGTTATTTTCCATTAGCCTTGATATTGTAAATACTGGGCAAATGTATAAATCTACCACTGCAATCACGACCACCTGCCCTGCTACCCCTTTGCATCCCCAAAAATAAAGCGTAGGAAGGACATTTTATCTTAAGAGAAACTAAAAATTCTATCAGATTTCCCATATTTTCACTTTTTCTCACAGCTCTTTCAAATGATGAACACTGTCTCTCTGTAACTGATGAAAAGGATCAGTCTAACCTGCTTTGTCAGCCTACCAATTCTTGCCTGGTAATTCATGTACAGTTTATCACAGAAAGTGAAATTAAGTATTTTGCTTTAAAAAGTGATAGAAATCTTAAATCTGGGTCATTTCCAGCTCTTGCTGGACTACAGGCTGTCTTCCTTCTGGGCAAATATCCCAGTGGGAAAATATAAATATCCCCTAAATACCCAAGTGTACTTTAGAGCTTTGAAGACGAGGAGATGCGATTGGGAATACGTCTTATTAACTTTGTTGCAGATTGAGGTAATGAACTACCTTGCTGATTTAACCATCAGGATAGATGGCCTCTTGTGTTCTGAATGCATCTGAAGGACACAGCTGGAGAAACTGAATGTACTGACTTTACAGGTCACCTCTGCAAAATAAAATATAGTCTTGCAGCCTGAATTGGAGCTAAAAGCCACTTAGAATAATTGTTAAGCTTAACAGTTTGGAACTTAACATTACTTTGAAATCACCAAATTCAAAGTGGCTTTGAAGAAAGTACAAGAGGAAAAAGAGACTTCCATTAAAAATGGTAAATGCTGATTCATGTTACTGTATGGCAAAAACCACTACAATATTGTAAAGTAATTAGCTTCCAACTAATAAAAATAATTGGGAAAAAAATGGTAAATGGAGCTGATTTGGTAATCCCTTCCCACAACCTGATTTGGTCATATTAAAATCATGCATGTGTGCTAACTTGCTTCCCTGTGTCCGACTCTGGGAGCCCATGGACTGTAGCCAACCAAGCTCCTCTAGAAACAGTATTTAAAATGTATTTCAAATTCATAGCTGATTTATAAAAGAAGTATGAAAAGTCCCCAGGTAGTATAAACAATAAAGATTGGGAAACTAAGCTTAACAAAAATACCGCCATATCAGAACATAAGAACTGGGGTATTCAAAACAAATTTGCTATGGGAAAAGCGGAACTGGTCTCATGCATTCCAGGGAGATAAAAAGCATAAAGCTAGGTGTCACCTATCCTGGAAACAAGAACTAAAAAATCCCCATACATTGGAGTGTAAGAAATTAGCAAGAAAGCTGAGAATCCTTTGGATTTTGATTGGAAAATAAGTACTCACACATAAGAAAGTGAAACCTAAGTTTATATCACACATGAGGATAGAACATAACATCTCTCAGACTGTGGTAGAGACAAACAGAAGACTCTTAAGGATTCTCCAATAGCCTAGCACAGAAGGGATTTCCAGTAAACTACAATTCCTACTATAGATGAGCTCACAAACACAAAATTACAAATCACATGATAAAACTCACTATTTCAGAGGGAGTTAATAGTTGTAACAAATAGTAGAACCCATCCATTGTGATAAGAGATAATAGATTTATTCAAAGAATTTTATAAGTTTATAAGTTTATAAGTTTTATAAGTTTAGCTTGGTGATAAAATTTGCCAGTATGATCTACTTTTCTTGAGACTAACAACCAGAATTCATACTTAACATTCCATGTTCACAAAACTTTTGCTAGATGTTTCTACAAGCTCTCATTAGACAGAGAGAGGACTAATGGGCAGGAACTGGGGGAACAAAAAAAGAGATGAATTTGAAAATTAGGCAATTCTTTTTTGCCTTTTTATGAGGATGTTTAGACGAAACTCATCTGGTCCCTTTCCTTTACAAGATATAAAAGAGCACTGTTCTTCAAGTGTGTGTGAATATTCAGAAGGGAATGGCTGATATGTATGCCCTACTGAACTGCTGGTATGGACAAAAAGGAATCAAGGACAAATCTTTCACGTTCCTCATTCCTAGGCATTATGCAATATGGGACCTGCCAGTGCCCACAGGCTGGTTTGGGAGGTGGTGGGTAAGACTCCAGGATATCACAAAGCCTGAGTAAAAAGGGTTTAATTTTCACTGTGTTATAAGGCTACTGGCAAGAGTCAGCCTGAAATTCCTGTTGAAGTCTCCAAGGTTATCATGTATGCTCAGGAAATATTTTTTCAGGTTCACAGTTCATATGCATAAGGCCAACTGGGCTCTCCGTCAGAACACGACTATAGAGAACAAGCCGGATCAGTAGTGATACTCTACAGAGTCTGGTGAAAACAGACACATCATCACAGATGTGTGTGGGTGTTAACAAAATGTTAATAGCAATTGCACCCAGCCAAGAAAAGAACATCAGATAAAGGGTGCGTTTCTCCTTCCTTATCCTCCCATATACCAAAATTAGAAGATTATTATCCAGAAATTGAGATAAAGGAACTGTAAGCTCATTTTTTTTCTCACTCCCACCTGTGTATAAATTACTGAATCCACAAGATTAAATTGGTGGAAGATTTTAATAAAGTATGAGATCAAAATTTATCAGACTAAATTTTAATAACTAAAAGTAAATGAAAACAGATGGTATCAGAATGAAATGCTGTTTAAAAAGCCAACTATAGGCTTAAATGGAGTTTAACCTGGTTGGTTTTGGTTATTGGACAAACAAAACTGTTTCATGCTTATTACTCATTAAGTTGAGATTTCTCAACCAAATATATTTAAATCATTTCAAGGAAAAAACAGAGATAATTACAAAAAAGCTGAAGATGGTAGAAAAGAAGAGACAGATTTGCAAAACAAGTAAGTAAAACCTTGAGAAATGGAAAATATGGCCCTTGGAAAAAAATACACACACACACACACACACACACACACACACAGATAGATGTGTATACAGATAGAGATGAATATATTTATATATCAAAGATTAACTTATGCCCTAGGCAGTTGAAGAGAGAATTTGAGAACTGGAAGACAAATTTTAGAAAATTATCCAGAACCCAATAAATAATAATAGAAATACAGAAAATAGTAAAGAGAAATCAAGAATCAGAATACAGGATGGGGAGATTCTTCATAGATCCAATAAAGGTTCTCCTAGGAAGGAATGGAGAGATTGGGAGAAAGAAAATCTCTCTCTAAAACTTTTGGAAACCACCAAAAAGAGAAATATTTTTTCTGTTCTTATTAATATGCTGGGTGACAAAGTATAAATGAAAGCAAATTATACATAGAAAAATAGACTAAAACTGCAAAGCATCGAAGACAAAGAGAAAATGAAAACATACCAAAGAAAACTGAAAAGAAATAATGATTTGGCAGCAGATTTCTTGACAGCAAGACATTTCAGGAGAAAATAGAATACCATTTTTCACTGTTGTAAAAAATAACTCCCCGAGCATAATTATATGCTCAGCTAGGCTATTTCTCAACACTTAGGGGGCAAAAAGGTATTTTTAGCCATATAAAATCAGAGAGCACTTGCTAGTCACACTCAATGAAAGAGCAGAAGCAAAAGAAATATACGAAAAAGGAAAAAGTATCACAGAAATTGGTAAAATAGTGGTGGCAAATTTAAATAAATAATAATTTCAACAACACAGTGGCAATGATACTGATAATTTAGGGAAATAATAAATGAGGTACAACAATAATATGGAAGATGGGAAGTAAGTTCAGAGTTAAACGATTCTAGTGGTTCTGCTACATCATTGTTACAGAGGTGCACAGAAATATTTATTATTGGTGGATACTATGATCAAGGTATTCAAGATAATAATTAAGGGTCCCATTAAAATAAAATCAATAGTATATGTATTCCAAACTACTGGAGAAGGAATAAACACAGGCTAAATAATTTGATAACTTTAATACAAAGAGGAAACTTTAGAAGTGTCATTACAGATGAGAAATTAGAGGATAATTCATTACAAAATATTTAAAATGTTGTTCTTAATACAAAAATAAAATATTTCTTTGGAAAATATACCCCAAAACAGATTCCTGGAGGAGTAGAATATTTTTAAGTGAACAACTTGAATAATACAAAGCAAAGAACAATGAAGATGTAAGGAAACTAAGAACTTAAGAAAATAATATTAAAATGTTTTATTTGACTACTATCAGAAAGCAACTTCCTAGATATAAAAAGTCCTTCTCTCATATAACCAAATAGTGAATCAGTTCTGATTTCCTGGAAACTATCAGTGCCATCTCTTCCTCTCCATTCTTTATTTTCTGTAGCACTGACATAGCATGAATCAAAGAGATTTCCCTTTATATCCTCAGCAGCTATAATAGTTCCTGGGAACTATTAAGGCACTAGTCAAGTGTGTGAGGAGTAAATTGGATAAAAAATGAACAGGGACTGATAAATAAAGATGGAAGTAGAACTGATAATGGAGAAACCTGGGAGTTGTAATATTGGTAATCTTGAGTACAGAGCAAAAGATATTATTCTAATATTTTTAAAGTTCTACTCTACTGGTGCTCCACACATTCAGAGAAACTTCTCTAGTAATGAACTATAGAAATGATCCCTGAAAGTATACCCTGAATATTCACTGGAAGGACTGATATTGAAGCTCTAGTACTTTGGTCACCTAATGCAAAGAGCTGAATCAGTGGAGAAGACCCTGATGCTGGGAAATACTGAAGACAGGAGGAGAAAAGGACGACAGAGGATGAGATGGTTGGATGGCATCACTGACTCAATGGATATAAGTCTGCTCCGGGAGATGGTGAAGGACAGGGCAGCCTGGGTGCTGCAGTGCATGAGGTCATAAGGAGTCAGACAGGACCTAGCAACTGAACAACAACTCTACAGGTATGACTTATTGCTGTTGTCTGGTTGTTAAGTCGTGTCCAACTCTTTTGTGACCCCATGGACTCCAGCCCGCAAGGCTCCTCTGACCATGGGATTTCTGAGGCAAGAATACTGGAGTGGGTTGCCATTTCCTTCTCTAGGGGATCCTCCTGACCCAGGGATCAAACTCCTGTCACCGGCATTGGCAGGAAGATTCTTTACCACTGAGCCTCCTGGGAAGCCCATGACTTGTATCTGTCTCTAAATATAAAAAAGTTCCATAAACAATCATGTTTTTCAACAATAATGGTATACCTGGATTCTTTATCAATATTATGCACAAAGATGATTCAGTTTGTGCAGGAGAAGTTGGCTTAATTTAAAGCCCAACTAGTTGCTGTATCTGGTAGCATCAGCATTTGATAGTAGGTTAAGTTTTGTGCTCCTTGGCACTATACCCATTATTAGTAAACAATACTTTCACAGGGAGGATCATAGCTTGTTTTTGATACAGTTACATGGTAATCAATTGAGACACTTGAATTACTTAGCAGACATATTCAGAGAATCATAACCTACGGACTAAGGCATGTGGAAAAGATAAAGCAGGGCTTATGATAATAAATATTATGTAAAATGTCCAAAAAATGCTAGGTAGACAATGTCTTGTAAAGAACTCTGTAGGGCACAGCAATCAATAAAGACAATTATAAGAAGATAAACTTTCTCCCCAGAAAATCTCCCTGATGAGATACTTATATAGCTTTGGTGGTGGTGGTTTAGTCGCTCAGTCATGTCTGACTCTTGCAACCCATGGACTGAAACCTGCCAGGTTCCTCTGTCCATGGGATTTTCCAGGCAAGAATACTGGAGTGGGTTGCCATTTCCTTCTCTAGGGGATCTTCCCAACCCAGGAATCAAACCCAGGTCTCTTGCACTGAAGGCAGATTCTTTACTGACTGAACTACCAGGGAAGCACTTAAAGCCTAACTAGTTGCTGTATCTGGTAGCATCAGCATTTAAGAGCAGGTTAAGTTTTGTGCTCCATGGCAATATACCCATTGTTAGCAAATAATACTTTCACAGGGAGAATCATAGCTTGTTTTTGATACAGTTACATGGTAATCAATTGAGACACCAGTTTCTATTGGGTTGCCTAAAACATTCATTTGGGTACCTCCATTACAGCTTATAGAAAAACCCAAACGTACTTCTTAGCCAACCCAATATAAATCTTGAGAAAACTTATTCATGGGATTTTGTGACCTAATAATTATCATAATAAAAAGATCTAGACAGGGAGCGGCTCACATTTATTGAGTGCTAGGCTAAATACTTTTTTTTTCTTTTACTTGGAGGATAATTGCTTTACAATGTTCTGTTGGTTTCTGCCATCCAGCAATGCAAATCAGTCATAGTTATATAAACACACACACACACACACACACACACACACATGTATATATCCTTTCCCTCTTCAGCCTCCCTCTGTACTTTAAACAGAATAACAGTTCATTTAATTTTCTCAACATCTTTTGATTTTTAAGTCCTTTTTACAGATAGGAGGTAGGTTTATAAACGTTAGGCAAATGGCCCCCAGTAGCTAACTTGTAAGTTAGCCTGACTGAGGAATTTGAGCCTAAGTAGTACCTAAACCAGAGTTCATGTTCTTAATCATTATGCTTCACATACAACCGTAAGTTAACATGTAGTAATTGATAAAGATCAAGAAAAGTGACTGACTTCTAACGTCTTGCATTTTCCATTCAGCCTGGTGCAGAGCCACTGGTAGTTGGTGGTCAGAGTGTCCAGTTCCTTTCTTAAAGCCTCTTGTGCTGCAGGTTGAGCTTGAGCTATGACACTGTTTACGGACTCAGTGAGGAGCTGCACTTTTGCTTCTTTTTGCTGGGCCTCTTCTTTAGCTCTCTGAAAAATAAAAAAAAAATGCTCTCTTAATAGCAAGGCAATGATTTGACTTCTAAGATGCATTTCTACATATCATAATCTTTCTTCCTTGTAATGTCTTTGTTAGAATGAGATTAATAAAAATAAATCCAATACTGACTCCAATCACTTTCATAAATTTCAGTTTGGTTACAACTGGAAACTCGCAGGAAAAATATACTCAGAATATAACAGATCTTTAATCAGAATAGTTTGAAAAGTAGTCTGTATGCAGATGTGTATTTGTGGAGAACACATACATATATCCATACACACAAAATAAGCAAGAAATAAATATTTCAACGTTAACTAGGTTCAAAAAACCTCAGAGGACAGAACGGAAACCACTTATAAATTGCTCAGATGGATGAATAATGAAATCAGTACAAATATAATTATTTAAATCAAAAGATAATTAACAGAAATAAGTCTTCTTAATGCTGTATTTGGGAACATATTATAACAGAAAAGTGTTAAGTAACTGAAATCAAGAAAGAGAAAGATCAGATACTTCCCTATCATGGTTAGTCAGTCACTGCTGAGTCTTTATCAATTATATGTTCAACAACTAAGTCTTCTCTTGTTCCGGGAAAAATGCATTAAGATACCCAATCATAGAATTACTCCTACTTGGTGACAACATGAAATCCAAAGCAAAGCCCTTAAACTCTCCCTTAAATCAACCCCCGCTTAAATCATCTAACATAAATCCAAATCCTACAATAGGTTTGAATACCCACTTACTCATATAGCCCATGGTGGCCTATCGTGTGTACTCTCCCTTACTGCCAAAGTAATCAACTCAACTTGTACAACTACAGAGTGTTGCTGTTGGTCAGTGTGTTACAATGAAGGTTAACACTGAGATGAGCTTTCAAGCATAAGTCATTTATGTATGATGTGAAGGGGATAGTGGTAGGGAGGTAGGGAATGGGAAAAAAATGGAGATTGGAAGGGTATACTTATTAAACCCAGCAACTGCTGTTGGTGACAAGTTTAATCCTGCTAGGAAGGTCTATGAAACACGTGTACGTGTGGGTGTGAGTGTGGGTGTGTGTGTCTGTGTGTGTTCAGTTGTTCAGTCATGTCCAACTCTTTGCGACCCCATGGGCTATAGCCTGCTGGGCTCCTCTGTCCATGGGATTTTCCTGACAAGAATACTGGAGTGGGTTTCCATTTCCTTCTCCAGGGATCTTCCCGACCTAGAGATCAAACCCACATCTTCTTGCATTGGTAGGCAGATTCTTTCCCACTGAGCCACCTGGGAAGTGCAGGAAACACATGGCTCAGGTTTATCCCACTCAAGGGTGAGGGCACTGAGAAATTCACACACAATCTCCCATCATTGGTTGAACACTGTTGGGGAAATGTTAATTTCCTGGTATGTGAAGCCAGACTCAGATGGAAAAAGTGGGATTCGGTGGCCTCAGAAGCACTCAGGTAAAGAAATTCAGGTTCTCGCAGGTAAATGGACAAAGTCAGCTATAAAATGCCTTTCTACTCTTCAACATGATCCTGTTTTGTCTTTGGATTTAGGCCTATACTGCCTTAAAATGTATAAAATATGATGGCAAATGCAAGCTCTTTTGACTATTAAATGATTTCCTTCACTGATTTTAATCAATTGAAATTTTATTTCAAAATTCTAAAATAAATCTGTTTTTTGACACTGAGCATGGAATTTGTTCAATACAAATCAATATTTTGGCTATTGCAATTTTAGCATTAAAAAGACCTTGATAAATATTAATCACTTGGTGTGGGCTGCTGTGTGCCATGACATGTTATATGTGTGAACTCACTGGAGCTTTAACAAAATCGTGTGAAATGAGTTTTGTTTTCTTTATGTTATACATCCAAGAACTGAGGTTCAGTGAGTTTAAAGTAAATCATCCTGGGAGTTGCATGTCATCTTTCACACAGCTTGTCTTAAGTCCATCTCAAATCCTCCATGAGGAGGAGAAACACGATCCAGTGCATCCAGTGAATGAAATTGCATTTTATACAAGTTATGAACAACCCATGCAACTATTAAAAATGCATAATGAGAAATATTTCCCCTTGCTACTTAGACATTCAAAACTTCTTTTTTAAAAATCAGTTTTATAATTTCAAAAGGTTCAGAGAAGAAAGATATGAGAAAAGGAGACCATGAGCAATTTTTCCATTGTACTTGGGCTTGAAAGCTCATCTCAAGGTTAGTCTTCATAGTAACCCACAGCAACACTCCCACAGTTGAACAAGCTGAGTTTATTTCTTTTGGTGATGAGGGAGAATACACACCATGGGCAACCATGGGTTATATGATTAAGAGGGTATTCAAATATGTTGTAGGCTTTGGATTTGAGTTTGATAATTTCTACATTCTAAAGACAGAAAACTAAATGGTATAGTTTAGGCATAATCCTCCTCACAAGTGGTAGCTTTTGTTCCATATAATTTTTTTTAAAGATTTATTTACTTATTTTTGGCCATGGTGGGTCTTCATTGCTGCACGTGGGCTTTTCATTGTGATGGCGTCTCCTGTTGTGGAGCACAGGTTCTAGGCACACAGGCTTCAGTAGAAACAGTGTGCACGCTCACTAGTTGCAGTTCGTGGGTTCTAGAGTGCTGATTCAGTAGTGTGTTATATGGGCTTAGGTGCTCCATGGTATATGGCATTTTCACAGACAAAAGGTCAAACCTGGGTCCCTTGCATTGTAAAGCAGATTCTTAACCACTGGACCACCAAGGAAGTCCCCTGTTCTATATATTTCTAGGAAGCTAACCATCATAAGCTCAGACACCTTTCATTGCCAGTATCTTGAACCAGTGGTTCTCTAAGTATGGTTCCTTGGAACCACCAAATTTACTCCTGGGCATGACCTGGAAACTTTTTACAAATTAAAATTCTCAGGGTCCAGCCTAGATTCACTAAATCAGGAATCCTAGGGTTGGCCATAGAACTCTGTTTTAATAGCCTTCCAAGTGATTCTGATGCTCACTCCGTTGTGAGAATCATTGCTCTAGCCTGTCCCCCATATAATGAGAACAGCAAATGCATGTATATTAAGTGAGGGTATTTTAAAGAGACTGGAATACTAGACCACCTTACCTGCCTCCTGAGAAATCTGTATACTTGTCAAGAAGCAACAGTTAGAACCAGACATGGGACAACGAACTGGTTCCAAATTGGGAAAGGAGTACGTCAAGGTTGTATACTGTTACCCTGCTTATTTAACTTATAGGCAGAGTACATCATGCAAAATGCCAGGCTGGATGAAGCACAAGCTAGTCAAGATTGCCGGAAGAAATATCAATAACCTCAGATATGCAGATGATACCACCCTTATGGCAAAAAGAGAAGAGGAACTAAAGAGCCTCTTGATGAAGGTGAAAGTGGAGAGTGAAAAAGCTGGCTTAAAAGTCAACATTCAAAAAGCTAAGATCATGGCATCTCGTCCCATCACTTCATGGGAAATAGATGGGAAAACAATGACATTTTATTTTCATGGGCTCCAAAGTCATTGCAGATGGTGACTGCAGCCATTAAAAGACACTTGGTCCTTGGAAGAAAAGCTATGACCAAACCTATTAAAAAGCAGAGACACTACTTTGTCAACAAAGTTCTGTCTAGTCAAAGCTGTGGTTTGACTAGTCATGTATGGATGTGAGAGTTGGACCTTAAAGAAGGCTGAGCGCCGAAGAATTGATGCCTTTGAACTGTGGTGTTGGAGAAGACTCCTGAGAGTCCCTTGGTCTGCAAGGAAATCCAACCAGTCAATCCTAAAGGAAATCAGTGCTGAATATTCATTGGAAGGACTGATGCTTGAGGCTGAAGCTCCAATACTTTGGCCACTTGATGTGAAGAACTAATTGTAAAAAACTAATGCTGGGAAAGATTGAAGGCAGGAGGAGAAGCGGACAAAAGAGGTTGAGATGGTTGCATGGTATCACCAACTCGATGGACATGAGTTTGAGCAAGCTCTGGGAGTTGGTGATGGACAGGGAAGCCTGGCATGCTGCAGTCCATGGGGTCACAAAGAGTTAGACACAAATGAGCAACTGAACTGAAGTCCAGGTAAACCTAGGACTGGAGTTAACATGGTGTAAAAAAAAAATTAAAAAGAAAATAATGAAAAACTGAAATTCCAGAATTTTTTTTAAAAGGGATTGATATTAAAAAAATTCAATATAGACTTACTGCAGGCCTCCTAAAGACATTTGGAATAAGATGTTTTTAATCAAACACTTCCCTTGTCTCTTTGATGCTAATATAAAAAACATTGTTCACAGAGAAAAAAGTCAAAAACAGGATTATCAAGTAAAATACAGGAGCAGAAAGTAAAGAAACAGAAGAAAGTCTCTACTTTTTATCTGAGTATATTGAGGAAAGATGCCACAGTAGGTTTATCACTCTCTTCCAGCAATAAAGATAAATGTGCTCTCAACACGAGCACAGGTGAAGGCCTGGACAAGGGTCTATCACTCCCTTTTGTGTAGGGAGACAGACCCAAAGCAATTACCTTGACTGGCAGACAGAAGACCAGAAAACGCCAACTCCCTTTGCTGCTACTGGCCAGGCTGTCTGAGCTGCTCCTCTTTTCATTATTACGCCCATATGCACCGATGCTGTAGCTAGATCAGTTTTTTTAAACATGCAAATCAGTGTGGACTGAGGGGCTGGGCCACTCATGTCAGGGATTTTTTATAAATTAGTTTTAAATTTGAGACAGTCTACTCTCCTGGACTGGACAAGAAAAAGCAATCTGACTGAACAGTTAGCCAGATAAGCAAAGGGTTCAAGGAATGAGGGATAAGGGCCAGAGACAAATGGAGGAACTGGGAAAAACAGAACAGCTGAACGTGTGCTGACTGCTGATTCTCTACTTTGGGACCTGAAGGTGTGGCTACGCAGCATAGGAAGCGATGGTAAGAACAGCCATGAAGGGCTGAGATGTGAGGGCAAAGGCAATGGGCAGGCACGGGCTTCACACGACAGTATGGAATGGAATGAGATGGCATAGGAGAGAGTGGCTTAGAATGGAATAGGGATAGAGGGCAATATATTCAGATAAAGCCTGTGACTAGGAGTAAACTATTTGACCTATCTAGGAATATCTGTTTTCTGACCAACAAAGAGATGTGTAAACAAGTTTCCTTTCAAAATACACTCCAGCTCTCATACTCTGTAATGATGTAACTTCCCTCATGGTGACCTCCCCACAGTCAAACCTAAAATAATTATAGGCCTCCTGACGGCTCTGCCATTTCACTTAGAATGAAAACCCCCCCATGTCCCACAAATCTGCTGTGTCAGCAGATACCTACTTCGCCTCTCCAAATCATCTCAGGTCATTTGTCCTGTTTTACTCTCTTCAGATAGGTGGGCTTCATTCTCTTCCCAGATAGCCTTAGGGTCTTTGCAGGAACTCTTCCCTTTGACTGGAATGTGCCCTGATAATACTTCTGTAAGGCTGCCTTTTTCTTATGATTCATATCTCATTCTAAATACAATTCCTCACAAATACCCTACATATCAACCCTTTGTAAAACAGCATCTCACCACCCTCAACTCCCAACTAGACTCTATGATTTATTTCACAACATTGGCTTATTTTTAGGCAACTTCTCATGATCTCAAATGAGTTTATTTCTCCATTCTTTGCCTGCCCCAACACCAATGACAATGTAAATTCTAAGAAGTCAGGGGGTTTTTATGTATTGCTCACTACTATATTCTATGTCTAGAAGGGTGTTTGACACAGTAAGTATACAATATTTCTTGATAAATGAATGAATTCATGAATTTATGAATATTTCATGATAAATGGTGTATGATATTATTACATGAGAATGATTTTCTAGCGTTTAATACTCTAGACACTATTACTGTTTCCCAAATGTAGTCACTCTTCTATATTTTAATTTTATTTTCTACATGTAACTAAAGCCATAATATACCTTTGATATTTAAACATCTGAGTTTAAATATCTGTAAATATCTGTAAAATACAGTTAAACATCTGTACTTCATTCATGTGCGTACATTCTGCTCTTAATTACAATATTCACTGAATAATCATATAAACTATATAATAAAGTACATATAATTAATTTCTTACCTTGCAGCAATGATAATAAAAATCATAATAATAATTACTAGTTTGGGGCATCTACTTTGTGTATTACATTAGGACTTTCATGTTTCATCTTTCATATGATTCTGAAAAGCAGGTATTGTGATATCTAGATCACAAACAAGGGAATGAAAGTTCACTGGGTTTATGTGACTTACCCAAGGTTACACAATTGGCAAGGGGTCAAAGCAGGTTTTAGACCCAAGTTTGGCTCTAAAATGACTTTGCTCTCTCACGAGGCTTCAAACCAAACAAATATCTATTAATAGTTCACCTAGGCTAATGTTAAATAATGTGTTATTGCTACTATGTGAAGATATTTATCATTATAGGTGCAAATCATTGAGTGCTCACTCTGAGATAGGCAATTTACTTACATGCAAGTTTTATTTTTCAGTTCATACTTTCAAGTTATGAAATGAGATGATTTACACATGAAAAATAAGAGGATTACACTGACCACTGAGTTGCCCAGGGCCATACTACAATGCCATTGTGTAGATTCAATTACCTGGCTTCATCTGCAAGTCCTTGGTCCTAAATCAATGTTATTTATTTTATCTTACTGATTCAAGAGAAGCTCATGTAAATACAGTCTTTCATCCATATTAAAGACCATCAGCTGAAATATTTAGTACTGCCAAATTGTAAGAAACCCCTTTAAAGCACAAAATTAACAAAGCCTATTGACGACATTTTCAACTGTCATTTCACCAACACTTTGACACTTTTCCAGTTTGAATTTGCATCAGCTAGGAACATCTGATATGAGTAGCTGAGTCTAATCTCTTAATAGTACATAATTTCAAGGGGATAATGTTCCAAACTGTGATTATCAATATTTATGTTTTTACCACAATACATAAAATTGATAAATAAAAAGTTTAAGCATTCTATACAATGCATATGAAAGTTGAAGCTAAATTAATCAAAAAGCAACCTCTACTATAAACCAAGAAAAGAGCAGACTGTGCAGAATCATAATTTATCTGGTTTCTTTTACCTTCATCTCTTCAACTGCTGTCTGTAATTCATCTGGGGTTTTATATTCAAAATCTCTCTCTAGGTATTCTTCTTCGGCTTGTGTCATCCATTCATGCATCTCTGACAAATCTTTCTGAAGGCTTACAGTTTTATCCAAGCCTGCCTTTAAGGCCTCCTTTCTGGCATAGACCTTCCATAAAACAAACCAATAAGTAAAGCATGAATATTGAAAGTCATAAAACATTATCATTATACTATTATTGACGAGTCTGTAAATAATAGAAAGCTTGGAAAAGATGAAGCTAGAAGTAAATAGCTTGCATGAAAGAGGAAAATAACTCATGGCAATTGGATACACTTAATTTCACATAAGTGTTAAAATAAGATATAAGCATTTACTTGGCATAATGAACAGATTCCCCTAAGACCACAATTTAGCTGTTGTATATGGTAATTCATTTCTGCAAATGGAGAGTAAAGAAAAACATTTTTTCATGATACGTTTCAGTTGGAAAACTGAATTTATTGGCATACATAGAAGTGGAAATTCTTTGCACTCTTTGATGCCATTTTATAATTTCAAATATCCCAGGAATTTGATAATCATATACCTATAGAAAACTCTCATAAAAAAGGAAAATGAATAAAATATACAGTCATGTAATTCACAGAAATAAAATTAAAATGAGGCCATATATATGTGAAAAGATGCTCAGTATCATTTATAGTTAAATAATAGCAAATGAAGTTAAATTAGTATATTTTCAAATATGAGATTAGATAAAAGCCTAATTAGAATGCCAGGTTTGAATAGGGATGTGGGAAAACAAAGGTTTCATACCTGTTGAAGGAAATATACACCACAGTAAAACCTTTTAGACAGTAAACTGGCAAAATGCATTAAATGCCTTAACGGTCATCCATTTGAGCCTACTCTCCCACATATAAAACGATGTGTACATAGTTGCATGTACACTATTTAATTCAGCTTTGAAGATAGCAACATATTGAAAACGAACCCAAAGGTGCTTTCATGGAAGATTAGTTAAAGAAATTGTGGGATACACATGTACACATACAGAATGGGATATCATGGAGCACTGATGCATCTGTACTGAAGCGAAAACTGTCTAGTATATAATTTTACATTAAAAAAGGTGTAAAAAAGCATGTGTGACAGGAGACTCTTGCTTTATAAAGTCTCATATATTGCTGTAATACTAACTTTATAACAGAATGTATTACTTTTTAACTAGAAAGATAGCAAAACTTAAAATACCCAAGAGATCATGCATGTTAATAGCTTATTCAAAGTACTCTGCTGTAACCCACTGAGGGAAAACTTCAATTTAGTATTAGAATAATGATATATAGTGCATCTCTTTTACCTTAAAAAATAACTCTACTCAAATGATGTTATTCTTCTCTCTGGGATTAAGTAGAATGCATCTTTTAAATAATACAGCTGTAATTTAAAGTCTTAATATAAAAGGCATAGTTTTAATAAAACAACATTTTCATGGTATTTTACCAAATATAAAATATATGCAGTACCATGTTCATGTTAATTTTTCTTATACTTTACAACTACCTTAAGCCTAATGTAGTTAAATTAAAGCTACTTAAAGAACTTTACTCTCCTAGGAGAAAGTAGAACTTGACCTATTGAAATATATGTTTCATTATAACACAGCTAGAACCACATATCTAACAATTATACTAGTTAAAGTACAAAGATGATTTTGCATAGTCAATGAACCTATAATAAGCCCAAGTAAACAAGCTGTTAAATTTCTACTTGGATATTCTGCTATAATCTTTGGAGGTGGTTGGCACAGTGGCAATAATATTAGAATGACTAACAAAACTTAGCCGAAGACTTGTAGCAAAAAACTATATATATATAATACATGCTATAAAACGAAACCAGAAGAAAGGGATCAGGAGTGATTTTAAAAGGAAAGAAAAGTAGGAAGTCATTTTGAAGTGACAGAATGAGTGCACTGGAAAGAGCACCAGCTTTGGAATCAGGATACCTGGAATCAATCACTAACAAGCTAAGTGAATCTGGAAACATCACTCCATTTATCTCCACTTCTTAACTAACCTAAAAGTTGGACTAGATGATTTCCAAGGTCTTTTCCAAATTTAACATTCTGCTCTACATCTGATCAGAAAGAGATGAATTTTTTGTGGTTTCACATTTTAGAAGGATTTCTGTGAAAAGGTTGAGGTTAAAATCATACTTTATCCTTCACCTTTATTACCTGAGTAATGCCAACTGTCTAGCCTGAAATTGCCCAGTCCACCCCTGCAGTTTCAGCAGATTACACTGCATCAACTGCTTTATAAAACAGAAAGTTCTTCATGTTTCCTGTTCCAGAATTTGTAAATCTAACATTCAGCACTGCCCAACCCCACTCCACTCCCCCACAACCTTTGTTAAGATACAATTGATCTAAAACGCTGTTTAAGGTATATACACCTACTGTGAAATGATTACAACAAGATTAGTCAATGCCTTCATCATCACACATAATTACCATTTTTCTTTTTATTATGAAAACATTAAAGATTTACTCTCCTAGCAAGGTTCATATGTAAAGAAATTATAGAATACTTTATATAATACATAATTGTCAGCTATAGTCATCATATTGTAAATGGGCTATGTATGTGCTTAGTCACTCAGGTGTGTCTGACTTTGCAGGCCCATGGACTGTAGCCCGCCAGGCTCCACTGTCCGTGGAATTTGAGATCCCAAGGACTCTCTCATCATAAATGAGAAGTCTGTACCACTTAACCAGAATCTCTTCATCTCCCTCACTCTCTAAGCCCTAGTAATATCCATTCTACTCTCTTGAGTTTGACTTTTTTAGATTCCATGTTTAACTGAGATAGGACTGTATTTGTTTTTTTCTATCTGGTTTATTTCACCTAATATAATACCCTCAAGTTTCATCCAGGTTGTTGCAAATCACAGGCTTTCCTTCTTTCTCAGAATAATACCCCTTTGTCTATATGTATGTATATATGTGTGTATGTATATATGTATACACACACACACACACACACACACTGAATCTTCTTTATGTGTTTCTCCCTGACCAGCACTTAGGTTGTCTCCTTATCTTGGCTATTATGAGTAATGCTGCAATGAATTTGGGTGTACAGACATCTTTGAGAAATTCTGATTTTGTTTCCTTTGGAAATATACCCAGAAGTGGGAGTGCTAGACCCTCGGGCAGCTCTATTTTAATTCTGAGGAATCTCCATACAGGCTCCACGGTGGCTGTATTGTGTGTATGCTGGAGGCTGCAGGGCAGGAAGGTCAAGGGTAAAATTATAAAGACGCTACTGCTAGAGACATTGTCTAGGTTATGAAGCTGGGAGTGGGTGGCTGAGGCAGGGTAGAAGATGAAAATCATTGGAGTGGATTTTAAGTAACCGAGGGCTCAGGAATGGGAAGAATCATCTAAGAAGATACTGAAATCACCCAGAATTAGGACAGGAATAACAGTGAGTTAGGTGTTAAAATATGTAAGGAATGAGGCAGAGTGACCCAGGGGTCTGTGGATGACTGAACCCAAAAGATGTACTGAATCAGAGAAAGATAATGATCTGCAAGGTGCCAGAATGGCACCCGCCTTGACACTCAATCCAGTGTTTCTTGGTAACTCTAAGTTTATAGTCACCAATAATTAAAATATATATCTATACATTATTTAGAAATTACACATATTTTATAATTTTATATATGCAGCTTTATGTCTATTTCATCTCTCGTTTATTTTATTGAACAAGTATGTACATAGTGGTTACTCTGTGCTAGATATAGAACTAAAAACCACTGCAATGATGTAAAGTAATTAGCCTTCAACTAATAAAAATAAATGGAAAAAAAAAGAACTACACACCTTATACACACAAACTCATTTAACTATAGAAGAATGTTAAAATTCTTATAAAGTAAGTAGTAATATCATCACACTGTAAAGACTGGGAAACTGAAGTGCAGAGATAAAGCGACTTTGCCAGGCTCACAGAGGTAGCTTATGGTGGGGGCAAGATCTAAACCCAAGCAACCTGGTCCAGAGCCTCTGCCCTTACACATTGTTCGCCTCTCCATCCACAAGGAAGTCTTCCCCATCCGTAAGAGTTCTTATTTCATCTAATTTAGCAAAAAATTCAGAGGGAGGGTGGGTCTGACAAATTCTTTCATTGTCAGATAGGAGTTACATAGATGTTATCTTTATTTCTCTGCATATAGTTTATATGCTCAGTTTAAATACCCCACTTGGATTCCAGATGCATTTTGACTGTATACGCCTCCAAAATAAACATGACCAAAGTAGAAGCACTGATCATTCTACCAAGCTGGTCAATTACGTTTCTCCCTTAGCACACAGTTTTTCCTTCTTTCATAGAAGGTGTGGTGTCCAACAGTGTTGCTCAAAACAGAAAACTCTGACTATGCTTTGATCCCTCCCTCCCTGTCACCCTGAACTTTCCACAAGCCTTATCTTTCATCAAGTACTGCCATTTCTAACGGGGTCTAATAAAACATAAAATCAAGAAAGGAATTGTGTTGTTAGCAGTAAGAGTAATGATTGTGGAAGTGAGTGTGAAAGCCCCGATCAAAAATGCAACAAGGAAGAACTTGCCTAATTGGTTAGAAGAAACAAGAAATATAAATGATCACATTGAGTGGGATAAGCTTGCTGGAGGTGGCCAGAAGTACAGAGTCTCTACAAAGTTTGACTGACACAAGCACTTTGGTTCAGGTTGCCTAGAATAACACACCCCCTTCCTCATGCTACTTACTGTATAATGGGAAAATGTACATAAAAACAAGAAACAGTAATGAATCACAGCAACAAGAATTCAAATCACTTCTGTCTCTGTGGAAGAACTTGGAAAATTATTGGAAGAGGTTTGGACAGTCAACCAAACACAGTCACAAGAGGATTATACATTTCAAATTTCTTTGTGTCTCTCAATCTCCACTAATATTCCCCCTGTTATTTGCCAGTATTATTTCCTACCTGAAAACTGTAATTCCTACATGCTTCCACTCGTGCCCTTCAGTCTTTTCATATAAGAGGAATATATAGCAAATATTTACATGATGCCACTCCTATACCTAAACGTCTAATAGTTCCCCATTGTACTTTGTATGAATAGTAAATCCTCACTGTGCTTTATAAGAAAATTAATGACTCTTCTTTCCCATCCATTTTTGCATAAAGATTTTTTTTTTGCTATTGTTTCCTCCCTTGCTCTAAATAAATTGGTGCTGCTCTTTCTATTCATCCATTAAAAACATTCAACAAACAAATCCTTTTCATACTGGCCTTCCAGGAAAACATCAATGATATAATCTATTCTCTAAGTAATATTATTTTTTTTCCTTAACATCCCTTCTAGAACCGACTTAATCCAGAAGAAGAATGCAAGCTAGCTGACCCCGGGCTATCTCATCCGTGAGTTAATAGAACAGTTGAGCATTTGTCAGTGATGGTATTAGCTGGGTGACTTGCCTTGACTTTTCCTCGGCTCAATTTCTTTCTTTTTCAAATTTAGTTTTTGCCTTTTGGCATGATTTCTTTTCAACTTTGAAAGGTTACTTAGAAATAACGAAAGACTGACTGGCTCTAATACACATGAAATGAAACCTCTCATTAACTTCAAAAAAGGTATTGGTGTATTAAAAAGTAATCATTGCTTTAGGTGAAAATTTCACTTTTGAACCAGAAGTATTTGATGTATGCTACTTGTATGTAATATTTACTCTTCTGCAATTTAATCTTGAAATTGGAAATAAATATCTATAAAACACTCTTCCATATAAAAATGAGGAACTCAGATATGAATGTACATTTATCTTATATTTTTTTCTACTATGCTGTTCTCAACTATTTCCCAATCTTAATCCATCTATTGAAAGAGATGTTTGAAGAAGCCAAACTCATCAATCTTACAATCAAAAGAGAAACATATTTATATTTGTACATATGAATGTATTACTCATTCATTTTATTTCTGTATCAAGTATAGAATTGTAAACTATCTTTGTTCATCCAATTACATGTATTAAGTTATGCAGTCTTTTGGAGAAAAGATTCAAGAAAAATAATGCCTAAGAAAAGGGCTTTATTATTCAGAATGACAGCTGTATTCAATAAGATCATTTTAGGACTTCCAATAAGATGAATACACACTATTTAAATATATACTATGAAAATAATTTATATGCTAGACAAAGGCTAGTTTTATTTAACCATACTTTAAAGCATCAACACAGAGACTGAACTTTTTAAAAGGTCCATTGTGAAGGGAGACATTAAGAAATCATAATTAAAATGGAGCAAGCCAACGTAAAAGAGATGGGACATACCTGTCGACATATGTAATCCCATTGAGTGTTCAGTTCTCTGAGCTCTGTCTCCAGTCTAGAAGCAAACTCTGGTTCTGCTTCAGTTTTTATTTTCTGTCCACCTTCATTGACACTGTTTAGACTGGGCTGGATTGTCTGAATATCACTGACTAAAAGCTAAGGAAACAACTCAATTTAAGTTAGCTGAAAAAATTACCACAACAATTAAAAATGCAACATAGCTACAAAGAAACATATAATTAGGAATCATGACACTACACATGAATTTTTCCCTTTAAAATCTGAAATATATACTACAAAAAATGTTCCTTTTTTATGGTATGAATGAAATGTGGAATTATATATCTATAGTCTACTTAGATTAGCTACAAAAGCAAATAAACTGAATACTTCATGTTCGAAAACAATGCAACAATGATGAGCTTTATAAATTACTATTTTTGAAGGAGGTTTGATTTCCAACATAGTATGTTGCAGCAGCTTATAGCAAGATGCTGTGAAGGTTACTGATAAAATGGTTTTGCTTTTAAAGCTTTTATTCACAAAGAAAGTTCTTGAAAGAGCTAGATTTTTCTCCTCCCACTGCATGACAATGGCATGATAAATATTATTTCAAAATACATGTCTTATACTACAGTGTGACATACATGGAAAGAGCAACATAGTTTTAATGACAATCTGTAATAAGATATAACAAGTAGCTCAAAAAACATCATTTACCTTTAGCTTAAACTGCATGCTATATCAAAATAATATTGTAAAGTGAGTGTTGAATAAAAGACAATATTTTGTCTATTTCTCTCTTATTTAGCCCAGTTTCTCAACCTTGGCACTACTGTCCTTTTGGATGGGGTAATTCTTTGTTGTGCGGTGCTGTTCTTTGCATTGTAGGATATTAAGATATGCCCCTGGCCTCTATTCACTAGAAACCAACAGCATCTACCCCACCTCAAGTTGAGACAAATGAAAATGTCTCCAGACATTGCTAAATGTCCCCTAGGGGGACAAAATCGCCCCTGGTTCAGAACCATTGATATCATTAAATAATAGTTTCCATATCAAAGTCTTCATATAAAGAAGTGTCATATAAAAATCTTACCCTGCACTGCTTGAGCTGTTTTTTAAGAATTTCTGAATCTCCAAGGGCAGGCCATTCCTCTTTCAAGAAAACATCAACTTCAGCCATCCACTTCTTCAAGGTTTTTATGTGATTCTGGAATCAGAGACCCATTTTAACACATTATTGGGGTGCTGATTTCCCTCGACACAATTCATCATGGTGATATGTTTGAACACAAGCCCGCGAACAATTCCCATGGTTGAAGAGTATCTCTAAGTAGCTCTTCAGGAAAAGAATATTTCCACTAAGACTGCATTTTTATGGTCTGCTCTATGAGCACTGGCGTATGAAGTCTGCTATTGTTAAAAATAAAAAATTACTACCAAATGTGGTTTTATGATGTTACTCTTGAGAACATTAAATCATATCCCCCTCTAGAGAAATTTTAAGTTACAAAACAACTCATGATAATACTAACAATGTGCCCTTACAGTACATAAAACAAACTATGAACAATAAACTCAATGTAATGGTGTCTTTATAGCCTCCCTAAACCTGAACTTCCACAAATTGTTTTCTACAGTTGACAGTTTAAATAGCCCCTCCAGTGAAGAACTTTCAGACCAAGATGTTGTCATCTTTAAGAAAGAAAACTTGTGCTTTTAATTTCTGATTTGCTCGACCAAGCTGACGTAATGATCAAATGGAAAATGTCATCTTTATTCATTTGTAAATAGCCAAGTACATCCCATTATTTTTTTTTCACATAATGCCATTTTTCTTGCTCCTTTTAGGGGTACATTTCAAGTGTGTGGTTTGCCCAAACTTCTTTATCTGTCTACAATTCAACTATGCTATCCAGATGTGCTATTTTGTCCTTTCTTAATTAGATTTCTATTGAAAATGTGTGTTTCTCAGAAATTTCCCTCTTCAATACAACAAATAATAATGACTTTAAAAGCATCTGACTAAATCTAAAGCCTTCAACATTATTATCTGGCTGACATTTCCTGAATCTAGCTTTGCTCTTTGGCCCACATCGCCAGTCTCCTAGTTCAGATCTCACCACTGCCTCTTTGACAACTACATTAGCTCTTTCTGGTATCTACTTCAGTCTCACCCTACTCTAACCCATTCTCCCCAGTGGTACCAATATTCTTCTCACCTCCTTCTTCTTCTCAAAGTGATGTTTAAAAAAATATATTATTTCATCTCCTTCCTCTTGAAGTACCAATAATAGTTCTACATTGTCATTATGTTAATCCCATCATGGTTAGATTATAATTCATATTCCAAAGCATGGCATCCAACTCATTCCTGATCTGCTCTCAGACTACTTCTCCAATCACCTCTTTTATTAATCTCCAGGCACATCTTTTATCTCCCCAATATTGAACAACTTTCAGTTAATTGAACATGCTGCTTCATTTTGTCAGGAACTCTTTCTCCATCTTTTATTAGGTGCCTAAATTCTACATATTCCAGGTGTAGTCAGATAACTCATATCCCAAGAACAAATCATAACTCCTTTTCCCAGTCTGTGCTGCTTTTCTTCTTTTTCCACTGTCATGCTCACTGCACTGTTTTATTACTTACCCTGACAGGTTAAACAATAACTCTTCGAGATTTCAGGCCCCCATCCCTGGAAGCTGTCAATATGGTGCCTTACATGGCAAAAAGAAATTTGCAGATGTGATTAAGTTAAGGATATCAAGATAAGGAGATGATCCTGGGTTATCCAAATGGGCACAATATGATCAAAGATCCTTATTAAGATAGAGGCAGGAGTATAAGAGAGAAATTGGGAGGTGCTACACTCCTGGCTTTAAAGATGAAGATGGAAACATGAACCAAGATTGTAGTTTCCCAAAACTAAAAGTTCAGTTCAGTTCAATTCAGTCGCTCAGTTGTGTCTGACTCCTTGTGACCCCATGAATTGCAGCACGCCAGGCCTCCCTGTCCATCACCAACTCCCGGACTTTACTCAAACTCATGTCCATCGAGTCGGTGATGCCATCCAACCATCTCATCCTCTGTCGTCCCCTTCTCCTCCTGCCCCCAATTCCTCCCAGCATCAGGGTCTTTTCAAATGAGTCAGTTCTTCGCATCAGGTGGCCAAAGTATTGGAGTTTCAGCTTCAGCATCAGTCCTCCCAATGAACACCCAGGACTGATCTCTTTCAGGATGGACTGGTTGGGTCTCCTTGCAGTCCAAGAGACTCTCAAGACTCTTCTCCAACACCACAGTTCAAACGCATCAATTCTTTGGTGCTCAGCTTTCTTTATAGTCCAACTCTCACATCCATACATGACCACTGGAAAAACCATAGCCTTGACTAGATGGACTTTTGTTGGCAAAGTAATGTCTCTGCTTTTTAATATGCTGTCTAGGTTGGTCATAACTTTCCTTCCAAGGAGTGTCTTTTAATTTCATGGCTGCAATCAGTATCTGCAGTGATTTTGGAGCCCCCCAAAATAAAGGCTGACACTGTTTCCACTGTTTCCCCATCTACTTCCCATGAAGGCAATAAATTTCCTCCTAAAGCCTCCAGAAAGGACACAGCCCTGTCCATACCTTGATTTTAGCACACGGAGCCTGACATTGAACTTTTGATACCCAGAACCACAACATATGTGCGCCGTTTCAAGCCATTAAATTTACAGCAACTTATCACAGCAGCAATAGGGAATGGATACACTCACCTTTCTCCTTCAGCAGACATGGGCTCCTTGATGGCAAGGGCCGCGTAACTGTACCCTCTTCTGCCACGAGCTCAGGCTAAAATGTGTTTTTATATGTGTGTGTATGTGTATGCATGTACGCATATGTTCATACATCGAGAAACATTACTGGAGATGTGTTTTTAAAAATAATTAAAACTGCTGGGTCTTTTGGTTTGTGAACGGTAAGAAAAAACAACCAAGTAGCTGCACTGGGAATTAAATCCAGAAGTGTGCTATTCCGATGCTTTTCCATCATGCCATGATGCTTTCAAGCTTTTGGCCAGCATTAACATTTTTTGCAATAATTTACCACATAAGAGAGATATCACCTGCATCACCAGATGTTTTAAACTTTAGACTACAGTGCAATTGTTGGTTTACTAATGCTTGGGTAATTAGGTGGCACTATTCAAACAAATTAAGTCAGTAGAAGTTGGTTTGTGTAAGGTGATGGGATCAAATTTATATATAAAATTGCAAGTGAAATATGCTGATGAAATTATGTGACCATATTACCTGGCAGATAACTTTATTTGGTGGTGGTGGTTTAGTCGCTAAGTCATGTCTGAATCTTGTGACACCATGGACTATAGCCCCACAGGCTCCTCTGTCCATGAGATTTTCCAAGTAAAAATACTGGAGTGGGTTGCCATTTCCTTCTCCAGGGTATCTTGCTGACCCAGGGACCGAAGCCACGTCTCCTGGGTTGAGGCAGATTCTTTAGCACTGCATAAACAGGGAAGCTCCTTCACCCATTATATATATGTAAACAAACAGATTCAAGGGGTTAGGTCTGATAGACAGAGCCTGAAGAACTATAGACAGAGGTCTGTAACATTAGACAGGAGTACTGATCAAAACCATCCCAAAGAAAAAGAAATGCAAAAAGGCAAAATGCTTGTCTGAAGAAGGCTTACAAATAACTGAGAAAAGAAGAGAAGTGAAAGGCAAAGGAGAAAGGAAAGATATACCTATCTGAATGTAGAGCTCCAAAGAATAGCAAGGAGAGATAAGAATGCCTTCCTAAGTAAACAATGCAAAGAAATAAAGGAAAATAATAGAATGGGAAAGACTGGAGATTTCTTCAAGAAAATTAGAGATACCAAGGGAACATTTCATGCAAAGATGGGCTCAATAGAGGACAGAAATGGTATGGACCTAACAGAAGCAGAAGATATTAAGAAGAGGTGGCAAGAATACACAGAAGAACTATACAAAAGAGATCTTAATGACCCAGATAACCATGATGGTGTGATCACTCACCTAGAGCCAGAATTCCTGGAATGTGAAATCAAGTGGGCTTTAGGAAGCATCACTATGAACAAAATTAGTGGGGATGATGGAATTCCAGCTGAGCTATTTCAAATCCTAAAAGATGATGCTGTCAAAGTGTTGTACTCAATATGCTAGCAAACTTGGAAAACTCAGCTCTGGCCACAGGACTGGAAAAGGTCAGTTTTCATTCCAATCCCAAAGAAGGGCAATGCCAAAGAATGTTCAAACTACCACATAATTGCACTCATCTAACAAGCTAGCAAAGTAATGCTTAAAATTCTCCAAGCTAGGCTTCAACACTACATGAACCGAGAACTTCCAGATGTTCAAGCTGGATTTAGAAAAGGCAGAGGAACCATAGATCAAATTGCCAACATCCACTGGATCATAGAAAAAGCAAGAGAGTTCCAGGAAAACATCTACTTCTGCTTTATTGACTATGCCAAAGCCTTTGACTGTGTGGATCATAACAAACTTTGGAAAATTCTTCAAGACATGGGAACCAGAACACATTAACCATCTCCTGAGAAATCTGTATGCAGGTCAAGAAGCAACAGTTAGAACCAGACCTGCAAAAATGACTGGTTCCAAATTGGGAAAGGAGTATGTCCAGGCTATATATTGTCACCCTGCTTATTTAACTTATGTGCAGAGTACATGTGAAATGCCAGGCTGGATGAAGCACAAGCTGGAATTAAGTTTGCCCGGAGAAATACCAATAAACTCAGATTTGTTGACATCACCACCCTTATGGTAGAAAGCGAAGAGCAACTAAAGAACCTCTTGATGAACGTAAAAGAGGAGAGTGGAAAAACTGTCTTAAAACTCAACAATCAAAGACTAAGACCATGCCATCCGGTCCCATCACTTCATGGCAATAGATGGGGAAACAATGGAAACAGTGACAGACTTTATTTTCTTGGGCTCCAAAATCACTGCAGATGGTGACTGCAGCCATGAAATTACAAGGTGCTTAGCCCTTGGAAGGAAAGTTATGAGAAAACTAGACAGTGTATGAAAAAGCAAAGACATTACTTTGCCAACAAAGATCCATCTAGTCAAAGCTATGGATTTTCCAGTAGTCACGTATGGGTGTGAGAGTTGGACCATAAAGAAGGCTGAGCGCCGAAGAATTGCTGCTTTTGAATTGTGTTGGAGAAGACTCTTGAGAGTCCCTTGGACTGCAAGGAGATCCAACCAGTCCATCCTAAAGGAGATCAGTCCTGAATACTCATTGGAAGCACTGATGCTGAAACTGAAGCTCCAATACTGAGGCCACCTGATGCAGAGAAGTGACTCACTGCAAAAGACCCTGATACTGGGAAAGATTGAGGGCAGGAGAAGGGGAGAACGGAGAATGAATTGAGTCGGATGGTATCACCGACTCAATGGACATGAATTTGAGCAACCTCTGGGAGACAGTGAAGCACAGGGAAGCCTGGCGTGCTGCAGTCCATGGGGTCCCAAACAGTTGGACACAACTGAACAACAATAACAAATACACACACACACACATATATCCACTCAGCAAATTCTTTACCACTGAGTCAACAAGGAAGTCACTCAGCTCTAGATAATGTGTCACAATTAAAGCGGACATATATAAGTTAGCCTGTGTGTATATATGTGTATGTGTGTGTGTGTGTGTATATATATATTTATACATATTTTACAACCCAAATAACAATGCAGCCATTTTTCCGGAAAAAAAAATTTCCTGCACTGCAAGCAGTCTCCTGCATCATCCATGGGATTTTCTAGGCAAGAATACCGGAGTGGGTTGCTATTTCCTTCTCCAGTCTTTGAGGCACCAGGGAAGCCTTATTCATAAGCTAAATAATTATTTAGAGGATAACAAGACTAAAAAGAAGATTGGTTTTGAAACTTATTGAGCTGAAAAGTTTTTTAATTCCCATTGTTATTGGTGGGAAAAAAGCTAATTCTAAAGAAAATCAAAGAAACAGAACTCTTAATGCTTTCTTAAAATCAATAGGCAAACTATTGTCCTTCAAGACAAATTTGTATCTTTTGGCCTTATCACTGACTTTAAGGGACTATATCTTTTAATTATATAACTCATCATTAGGAGAGAAACAAATAAAAATCAATATAAAAAGTAAAATCTTGAATTACCTGAAGTTTTCGGAGTTTGGCCATTTGCTCCTCTAGCTTTTGGCAACGTTCAACCAACTGGGCAGAGAGTTTTTTCCATCGACCCTCAATGTCTTCAAACTCCGACTGATATCTCTGGCTTATATGAGAGGGTGCTTTCCTTGACATCTCTTTCACAGTGGTGCTGAGATAGTTTAGGCCATTTTGGTGCTCTTGCAGAGAACTTTGTAAAGCCTCAAAATTAAAAAGAAAGTGCCTTTATACTAATTGATGAATATTAATGAGTTTAATTGTTCAATTTCATTGATGAGTTTCAGATAAATCAAGTGTACTTAAAATGAAAGCTATGTGGCTCAAACATTTAAAATAATAAATGATATAACATCAGATGTTTAATTAGCAACTTACAATCTATTTTCAATCATAAGGGTAATTTACACATTATTCAGTAATATTGTATTTAAAAATTTATGCCTATTCTTATCAACAAAGTGGAATATATACAAAACTGTATCTTATTGAAACAAAGAGCTTTAGCTCATCTAATTTTATTACATTTTATTTGTATATCAATAACTGTATTTATGATTCAATTAATGGAGTTTAACTTAATTATAAGTAAACTTAACTATAAACCTTTAGTAAGATAATTTCTCATCTTCATAGATAAAAATATAACTAAATAAGATTGATATATGTGATAACACAACTCTGAATAAGTTAAATCATATAGATAGTTTACTCATGCCAGTTAATGGAAGTTTCTTATTCTTCAAAAGGCATTGTTCTGTTTTGTAGTATCACAGTGAAATTTTCAGATCATTTTGGGGAGAATTTACAAACTTCATTTCACATTTGTACTGTATACTCTATTCCACCCCTTATAATAGGATGCATACGTTTAGGATTGCTCTATTCAGTATTTATTTAAATGTTACTTTCTGGTTATAAACTAATAAAGGTTTAAGATTTTAAAATGGGCAAAAATACCCATTACATACAATTGTTTTTAGATAAATTTCCAGGGTTTTTTTTTACTGAATATCTGATCATATGTTATACTCACATACACATAATTATGTAAAACACATAATCTTATGGTTGCATAATGTTTATTTTGTGATATGGAAGTTATTTTAAATTTACTTTTATTTTATTTATTAAACTGTTACCCTTGATTATTTACACAATACATAGTATGCACATACATTTTGAGCTAAGCAATTTATTGTGAGCCTTTTCCCATGTCATTAAGTAATTTTCAAAAACACAGACTTGAATTGCTTCTGTAGTTCTTTTAACCATTTTTTATTACTTGTATAAATTAATTTTAACCTTTCTACTCTCTTAAATTATGTTTATGATCTATTTATCTATATCTCTGTGTATTTAGATCTGGAAAGTTTTCCTTGGCAAAATTTTCATTCAATTGATATACCCATCAGTAAGTGAGAACGTAGTTTATTGCTGCCACAACTGCACTTACTATGTGCTAAATTACTTCAGTCGTGTCTGACTCTTTGTGACCCCAGGAACTGTAGCCCACCAGGCTCCTCTGTCCATGGGATTCTCCAGGCAAGAATACTGGAATGGGTTGACATACCTTCCTCCAGGGGATCTTCCCAACCCAGGGATTGAACCCACATCTCTTATGTCTTCTGCATTGGTAGGTGGACTTTTTTACCACTAGTGCCACCTGGGAAGCCCCTATACTTACTATAGCTTTCAGTTTTCTTTCTTATTTCTTTTTGTTCTTCCAACTTAGTATGTAAAAGATAGTATCTCATTCTGCCAATTTGTTCTACATCCTTACAAATTTTTTTTTAATTATAGTTGATTTAAACTATTAGTTTCAGGTGTTCAAAACATTAACTCGTGTTAGCGGATGATACTTCATTTAAAGTTACAGAATACAGGCTCTATTCCCTGCGCTGCACAAGATATCCTTGTATCTTATTTTACACATGATAGTATGTACCTCTTAATCCTTTACTCCCATTTTGCCCCTCTCTCCTCTGGCAACCATTGGTATATTCGCTATATCTGACTCTGTTTTCTTGTATTCATTTATGTATTAATTTATTTTTGCAATTTCATATGTAAAAATGATATGCCATTTTGTAAATTTGTACATCCTTTTCAATTTGAGTTACAATTTTTCATAGGAATAATAGTCATAATTTTTTTTTTTGGTAACTACCTCATTAATGACTTATTCAGACAGATGTTTTCCTTCTTTTGTTTCTCTTTAAGATTGGCTCTGGTACTTTTACAATGTTGTGATAGCTTCCACTGATTTCTGTGCTTCCCCATCATATATTTGTAGAGTTTTATTAAAATTTTCTACAAAATTTATGCCTGTTAAAGTGTTTTTGAATTTTTAATCTACGTAGTAGTTTGTTTTGGTGTAACATTTGACACAAGGTTCTGACTTCATTGTTTTCAGTAAGTTAATACTTATTTTCCCAATAATAGTTATAAATAATTTTCCCTTCATCACTGCTTTATGAATGGAAATATACTCTTCCATTTATCTGTGTACCATTTCTTACATACTTAACCCACTCCCCTAATTGCTATACCTGTGTACTGCTATGTTCTTTTACATTTATAGTTCTATTAAGTCACATAAGTCTCAAAGTAAATTTTAAAATTATTCCAGGTGTTGCAAATAACAACACAAAAAGGAAAAATGATTAAACAGTTATAGTTTGTTTTGTATTATAGTAGAGGAAATAGTTTAATTAGGATGATGTATACTGGGAAATGTTTAAAGATTTCTTTGAAGAACTACTTCTAAAATTAACTTTTTTTTAGTAAATAATATTCAATTCCCAAAACAGAACTCCTGATACAACAAAGTTAAAGTTTTAATTTGTTTTCTTAATTCAGAAAACGTGGACATATTATCTCAGCTCTTAAATTATAATACACAAATGTGTTTCAATGCCTTACAAAATAAAATGTGATTAAAAAAACCACAGGTTTTTCAGAATTAGTAAGAAGGCATCCTAAAATTGCATACGAATTACATCTTTCATTTCCAATATTAGCATTTTATTTCCTAATATAAAACTGTTAAAATACAGTTAATAGAACTCCAAAAACTAATTACAATATTACATCAAATGAGTTTAAATTAAAACTAATTTTAAAACTACATTAATTTTACCACTTGCTGGTTGGAAATATGAGCTATAAATCAGCAAGCAAAGGGGAGGAAATAATATCAGAGCTTTTATAATAATCAAAATCTGTGTTTCTGAAAATACACACTGAGCAAGAAAGAATATATTTCATGAGTACATCATATCATTGTCTTCAAAGACAGAATCTTTATCTAAGGAGTCACAAATACATTAAATAGTATGCTTTTCCAGCCTTCATTTTTTCAGCTGGCCAACTGTCAAACTTGCCACGATTATTTTAATTCTAGTATTGTATTAAGGTTATAACAATGTGACTGCTTGATAGATGAGCAAGACTTGAGAGATGTATCAAGATTTTTAAAAAGTCACAGACCTGTAACTCCTCAAGTCTCTGCTCCATGATCTCGTATTCCGTGACAGTAACCTGAGGTATAGAGAGTTTGGTTTCTGACTGTTGGATCCACGTGAGGATGGTACTCATGGTCTCCTGATACCGCACGGTGGGTAAAGTGTCCAAAACTTGATTGAAAGGGAAAAACACAGAGAAACATTTAACCATTTAAAATGTTGTCATTTGTCTTTCTACATTGCCAGAAAACTCAATCATACTAATTACAAATATTAACAAAATGTGAAAATCTGAAAATACAGAGTAGAATACGATTATGACAGAAAATATGCATATATGACATTTAATCTTGCAAGATCTGCATGGTTAAATTAATGCGTTTTTAAGGTGAGGAAATGGAGCAACAGAGTAACTTATCCAAAAATGGAGCAACAGAGAGGCTGAGTAATTTGCCCAAGGTGACACAGATAATCCAAGTAGAGTTCATGTATATTTGACTTTGAAGGCTTACCCTCTTTCTGTATTATTTGCCTTGGGGGAAAATAGGAAGTACCATTATCAACAGCAGGTGATATTTTAAATTATATCATTTCATATCTTATTTACTAAAGAAACAATTTGTGTGTGCTCAGTGTGTGTCAGAAACCTTAATAATGATCACACATATTATGATTCTTAATTCTTACAATAAACCTCTGAGACATGCATTTTTATTCCATTTACATTTGAGAAAACCAAGGTTATAAAAGAAGGCCAACTGATTTGCTCACAAACATCTAGTAAGTGTCATAGCAAGGATTTTCAGCCAAGATTATTTAATTTCAAAGTCAAACGCACCAAGAAACAATGCATTTTCTCTAAAGTGTATATATATGTATACACACATACATTCATTCCAATTATACATAAAATAAGGGAATAAAAGTATATATGGGAAAGTATAATGTGTGCATTGTATATCATTATATATGCTTAAAATCTAAAATGCATGTATGTTTATATATACTATTTATCACTATACATTATTTTCTATTTTATACATACACCCATACAGATTATGTGACTAGTAGCTATACTGACCATGTTCAAGGTGGAGAATTTTGTTAGAAAACTGGAAATGATCAAAATGATTTTAAGTGGTTTAAGGAGGATAAAAAAGAAATTATACTAAACATGCAATAAGTGAAAAGTAACAAAACAGTGGATGGATTTCAAAGCAGATTAGACAAAGCTAAACAGAGAATTAGTAAATCTGAAGATAGGCCAGAAATAAATTATATATACATATGTATGTATATATATATATATGGAATGAAGCATGGAGGGACAAAAGAACAGAAAATAAAGATGGGAGAATAAAAGACATAGAAAAAAACAGCAAAATGAACATAAATGTGTCCCAGAATCACAGAGAGAGATGTGGTTCAGGAGCCATATTTGAAGAGATAATGGCTGAGAATTTTCCTAAATAGATAAAGTCACAGTGCAAAATACTATCTCAAATCACTAGAGCAAATGGCATTATTTAAATATTATTTTTAACATAGCATATGGATTTCAGTTCTATATACCAATTCCTTCTAAACTAAAGGAGAAGAATGTAGGAAAGTATTTTGCATGCTCATCAGTGGGGTTTTCAAATGGAAACTACATTTTTAGAAAGTGTGTTAGAGAGGGATACTGAGAATTGTACTCAAAGGACTTATATCTATTTGTCAGTTCATGCCCAGATTTATTTTTAGAGGCCTTTGTTAATCTGAGCACTTTTGATTTCATATGGAAGGATGTCAAAAGGTCTCTGTGATACTTTAGACCTCCCTGCTTTCTTTCATACAAATAATGTGTTTCTGTCTCTACTGACGAGATACATTTGAATGCTAGGTAATTATTTATAAAAACAAAGATGACTCTCAGGAATAGTACTGAAATAAAGGAGTACTTAGTTATGATGAAGCAAAGAGTTAGCAGGAGATGGGTCTATGGGTAGAGACACGGAGGAGGTATGTTGAATCTAACAGTGCTACTTTCCCTTGGGGCAGTGATTGGGAAACAACATTTATTAGAAGCGTGCCACGGGTGATATGCATCAGTTCCATTTTATCCAGATGATTAATATATGTCAGGAGAGAAATATAAGTATATAAAGTATTGATGAAGATATTAGGATTACTTTTATTTGAAAAAGATCAACAGGTTCTTTTATGAACATTGAACAGAACTGCTTTTCCATTTTGTTTGTACAGAAACAGGCTGTGTAGCATGACAAGTAGCAAATCTGATTCTGCAGTTCAGTAAGCCTGTGCCTTGGAATTGGTTCTCCATTCACTAGCTTTGGCAAATTACTTAACATTGGAGCATCTTAGAGCTCATTTATAAAAACAGGGATGGAGATACTCTGGGGAGAATTAATGGAAGTCATTTATTATGCCTTCATTCAGCCAATATTTATTCAGTGCTCTGAGCACCAGGGAAGCAAGAAGTAAAAAATTTGAAAGCAAAGTCTTGGCTTTCATGATGCTCAAAATCTAATTGGTGAGTCAGGAAATTAACAAACAAATCAAGAGACTGTAATGACTAATAGAAATAAATGGGGAAATTAGTAGAAATAAGTGGGGAAGATCCTCCTGGAAAATGCAATAAAAATGAATTTAAGATAGAGAATTAGATATGAAAATCTTGGGGTAAATGAGGATTTACACAAGGGCTGGTGGGTAATCAACAGATTAGCAATGGAAGCACCTATCATCTTCAAGGTCAGAGAGACAAAGCGGGGAGGTGAGAGACTATGTCACAAGAAACCAATAATTGGAACCACCCAGCAGGAGCTGAATTCACAGGGGATTTCTCTTTGGGGATGCAGAGTCCTCAAGGTATACTGTTTCCAGAAGGCGCTAGAAATGGAGGATTCATTCTCAGTGATGGAGATGCACCCTGAAACAATGAGAGAGGAAGAGAATATCATAGATTCTCTCCTCTTCTCACCTTCAGTTACCTCCAAGTGTCTTCCACTGACTGAATCAAGCGGGTAGCCAATTTAAACGAAGAATCCTAGGAAGTGTAATTTTCATGGGAAGAGTAGGGAATGACACTGAGAACGACAGACAGACAAAAGATCTCCCTGGAGATGATGGTGAGGGTGGGCGTGGAGTGAGGGAAAGGAATTTGACAGGAGCAATCAAGTACATCAGTGGTTTTAGCAATATTCCATTTCTTAAGTAGTTCAGTATGCACTGCAGATTTCTATTTTTTTCATTATTTGAAAAAAGCCTATATGTTACAGAAACTCTTTGAATATAATACAAATATAAAATAAAATTTAAAAGGATAGAAAGTGACTGCTGCTGCTACTGCTAAGTCGCATTGGGAACCATGACCACAGAAGGCCTCTGTAGACCTTAATAAGATGCCACATTTTATTCTAAATTTGTCTCTATATTTGCTTATTACTGCATCCATTGCTGGGTACCTAGTATATTTGCTATTATCAGTAGCTAGAAGGGAGATGCAAGATAACAGGAAAGTGAAAGGGACACACTCAGGGCTAAGCAGAAAACTGTAAGAGTTTAACACAAAGTTTCATCTATGTTAATAATACTGAATAGAGACACTCATGTTCTTTCATTTGTGGGGAGGACTAGTTTCTTCTGAACTAATTTTATATTTGAGAGAACCAGATACATAGCCAAACCAAAGATATTGTTCTAAAATAATTTACACACACACACAAAATGCCCACACATGAACACATACTATGCAAGCATATGAATATTCTAACACACACACACACACAGTGAATTTGAAAGTTTTTTCCCACTTTATCCTGCAAAGAGAGTTATGATCAGATGAAAAATCAAATCATAATAGATAAAGAATAAGGGAAATGATATCAAAAAAGATATAATTGTTTTGTTTAGGTTTATTTAAATAGCATTGTTTTAGTACTGGATAATACTAAAATCCCATGGATGGACAAGCCTGGTAGGTTACAGTCCATGAGGTTGCTAAGAGTCAGACACAACTGAGCGACTTCACTAATATTTAGTGGTCATTTAAAGTATATATATGAGGCATACTTTATTATATTACACAGCATATTAACTATGTATTTGGAAAAGTGTTTAGACTATACTGAGGATAATCTCGGTATTAGTAGTATCCTGGGAAAAGACTATAAGTGTTAATTGTACCTATATTAAATAAGGAAATAAAGATTTTCAGATTTGTCAGCTTATTATCAAAGTGATAAGGTAGTATAGCACCATACAAGAAAAAACGGTCACTTATTTTATAATACTACAGATTGTCCCAACCTCAGTCAGCATCCACCTACCTGTAATAGATCAAAGGAGGGAGGAAAGGAGATCGATTGATCGATAAATAGATAAACAGACAAAATGCCATAAAGTGAAAAAATCCATTATTCTTCAGCACAGAGCAGCACACAACAAAAATCTCTCAAATCCAGAAGAAGATGAACACTGAGACGTTCTAAATTATTAAATGATATATTTGATCAATCTTTCTTCTATTAACTAACAGAATTCTAGCTAGATGTTAGGAAATAACCACAACTTGGTGTTTCTATTTTTTCTTTCTGTTAATTTAAACAATATGTCAACAAAGCATGCATTATATTGCATTATTCAATGAATAATTAAATAATGGTTCTCTTCAAAACCCTGAGGAAGTATTCAGTCCAGACCATCATTGCATGTGGGCTCTATATACTATGTTGCATGGATGGAAAATCATATTCTGTATTCTGACTGGGGATATTTGGACACTTCTTTTCCTCGCTATCTGCATCCTGAGAAAACCCCCTGGCTGTTTCACAGATGCGATGCTTTGAGGAGAGCTAGAACTGAAAGGAGACCTAGCAAGTCCATAGTTTCTGAACTGCCTACCTCACTACCCCTGTATGGGTTCATCAACCAGGAAATCCTTACATCTGAAGAGCTGTGGGACTAGTTACCCAATGGGCTCCAAGCTCACCTTTCAGTCCCTTCACTTCTAAGACATCTCCTAATTTATCTTCCCTTTTATAGCTTCCTTTTGATCTTTCAGTTTAATGAGAAGGGAAATATTTCAGTTTCTGAACTGTTGATCTTTTTCTGTACAACTGCTTCTGATCAGTATTCCGATGTAAGACGTCAAGTCCTCCCGCTAGGAG